GTTGTTTGACTGTTTGCTTTTTTGGATTGATCTGGTTGTGAAGGCTCACACTTAACAGGTTTCCATGCAGCTACCAGCCCATGCTGTTTGCAAAGGAGAGAAGAAGGGATACAATGAGCAAGGCTATGACTCTGACCCTGAATGTATTGGTCTGGTACCCCTTGGCATCAGAACAGTAATTTCAGACATGCATTGTCTGTTGTCACATCTACACACCCTGTCCAGATTCCCTTCAGCTTTCTTTCTTTTAGATAAATGTAAAAGATGCTATCATCAAAGAAAAGCAGGGAACTTAAATCTTGCTGAACAAAACAAGATGTCACTGAAGCCTTTCATCTGGACAATCACAAGAATGCCAAATTTCAGATGACCACGACAATTTACCTGACTAAAGAAAAGGCAGGCCAGTACAGGCTGGACACAAGCAACCTCCCACTTGAAAAACCCAAAACGATATCAGCTGTTAATTGCGATTGGACAGAATCTGCCAAACTCATGATGTGGCTCGGTTATGCTCGCTGCTAGTGGTTCAGGTTCCATATGCAGAAACCTATTCTTTCCAAACAAATATGCTCGCATGTTTTTCTTTCAATTTCACAGCATCCTGGGGTGCCTGTAGATCCTCGCTACTTTCTCCATGTCAACATCATAGCCAATGAGAGTTGGGTTGTCAACCAGTCTGAGGCATAAATTGTCGTGATATGGCATTCTTGTATTTGTTCTGTCGAGTGCAAGACGAAAATGTTTTGGTCACGTGCCTGTCTTTTCAGGAAGATTCAAGTATTATATGTTTTGAGATGCTGTTCAGAACAATCCCACTTGCTCAAGCAATGCCTGTACCAGTGAAATCAAAATGGTACAGGCATTGCTTATTTCATGAGAAACGTCGGCTGACAATGAAGCATGTTGGTGCATTGTACTATAGGATCTGCCCATCTCAGCGATATCATTGCTGGGTACACTGACGGGAGACGTGATATTCACTTGAAACAAGGTGCAATGGAGAAAGACTGCCGTCTGGGGTCTTTCTGCCAATGTATAATGAGAGTCTATTTAGTTATCAGGCTCTCTTGTCTCAAAATGAACATAGTTACCCAAATAAGTAGAAAATGCCTTTGTGGTTTGCAACTACAGAGAAACTCGGAGAAATGTCAAAATTCCAATGTTTTGTTTCTTTTTTCTCTCTCTGCAAAGACCTAGGCAGATATGATTTAGAACCTTTTGCACATACTTATAGATTATGTTGATGAATAAAGTATATTTTTTGAAATGAATAAAAAGAGAATGTTGCACAGACTGTCATGATACATGCTTCATTTTGGCAGCTTTGAGACTATCAAAGCAGCAGCCTTCAATAATAATTTGCATTTATTTGTGAGGACAAATAACTAGCAGTCCCATGCAAAATGTATTAGCCTTTCCTGGAGCTTTGTGTGACAAATGT